GGTCGTGGAAAACAAAAATTAGGAAAACTTGTTTTAGAACATTTTTCAAATTGGAAAAAAGCTATTGAAGAATTCAATAAACATGAAAATACAAATTACCATAAAATGTCAGTTTTGAATGCTGACAATTTGTTATCTGTATACAACAAAAATAAAGATTCTATTGATGTGCAGATAAATAATAGTTTAAAAATGGAAATCCAACAAAATCGCAAGAAAATACTACCAATTATTAAAACTATTATTCTGTGTGGTCGTCAAGGAATAGCCTTAAGAGGCCATAGGGATTCAGGACCAATTGATCTACAACACAACACTAATGATGGTAACTTTCGAGCTTTGTTAAGTTTTAGAGTTGAGGGGGGTGATAAAGAGTTAGCTGACCATTTAAAGAATGCTCCTCGAAATGCATCATATCTTAGTGCAGACATACAAAATGAAATAATAGATGTATGTTTTGATATAATTCTAAAACAAATTGTGAACAGAGTAAATAGTGCAAGATGTTTTACAGTCTTAGCTGATGAAACTACAGACATTGCTGGTATTGAACAATTTTCCCTTTGTGCTAGATATTTAGACAAAACAAAAACGATAATGAGAGAAGATTTTTTAAAATTTGTTCCTGTTAGTGATGTCACTGGAAAGGGATTAGCGACTACTCTTCTGACAACTTTGGAAGAAATCGGGATTGATATGAAATACCTACGTGGTCAAGGGTATGATGGGGCTGCATCCATGAGTGGACAATTCAATGGAGTCCAAGCTCATATTATTAAACATTACCCTCTCGCACATTATATACACTGTAGTTCCCATAGTCTCAATTTGGCTATTTCAGATGCTTGTAGTATTCAGTCAATAAGAAATTGTACTGGAACTATTCAAAAAGTGTGTGTTTTTTTTAAATACCCAAAAAAAAAAAATGTAATATCTGAATCAATAGCACGTGTATGTTCTTCGTCAACCCATAGCCGTTTGAAACTGTTATGTACAACAAGATGGGTAGACAGACATGACTCAATAATTATTTTCCTCGAATTATTTGATGCAATAGTTGATAGTTTATCAGAAGTATGTACTTGGCTTGATAAGGATGCTTCATCAGGAGCATACCAATTGCTGTGTGCTATAAGACAACCAGAATTTATATTAGCAACTTATATACTGGGACATGTGTTGAGTTTGAGTTTACCATTAAGTAAGTTTCTTCAGACAAAGAATATAGATCTAGTTGAAGCTATTCAAACGGCTGACGATGTAGTAAATATAGTTAAACAACTAAGATTAAATGATAAAAATGAATTTAAAATTATATTTAATAATGTAAAATCTAAATGTGATGCCTTAAACATTGAAATATCTATTCCTCGTACAGCTAACAAGCAAAAAAACAGATGCAATGTCCAGGTTGATTTGCCTGAGGACTATTACAGAATATCTTTATTCATTCCATTTGTAGATCATTTTTTAAATCAATTAAATGATCGATTTTTATGTCATAGATCCGTAATTGAAAATTTTAACTTTATTTTACCATCGTCCAATTATGTAGATAATGAAGAAAAAATTAAGCAGCTAGTTGAGATGTATCAAGGTGATTTGGATTGCAGTGTGTTAGCAGCTGTGAGTGAAATTAAAATTTGGCAACAAAAATTTATGGGAACCAAGGATTTACCAAAAAATGCTATAGACGCTCTAAAAAAATGTAACATATCGATTTTCCCTTCTACTTTCAAACTTTTACAGATTTTAGCAACTCTCCCAGTTACAACTGCTAGCAGTGAACGATCTTTTTCAACGTTAAAAAGATTGAAAACATATTTACGAAACACCACGAGTGAAAATAGATTAA